ATACTTCTCACCAGAAACATCAGCATGCAAGATAATATTAACATGATCTTCAGTACAAAATATAATGTGTCAGAAGTCAGAACCAACCTTGGAACTTGTGTTATCGTAGTAGAGTAACATGTAAACAAAGTACCTAAAGATAGATTACCTCAAGATGACTATTCAGATATGCAACCTGAAATAGGTCTCAATGGACTTTGTCACAACATCTGCAAATCATTGTAATTCAGTATGTTCTGAGGAAAAATATTTAGCTTTTCAGTAGATAACATAAGACCTACAATACCTATTAAACTTACCAGAACCATATATCATTTAATTATGACAATAAAGATCGTTTGTACATACATATATTGAACCAAATTTTTTATTCCTTCTTTTGAGCTCTCCCTCATCTTCTTGAATTTCTCATGAGTGACCACCTTTTACACTTGACTTCAGATTTCATTTGCACTTTTTTGGCTTCTCATTAATCATCACCTTTGCAGATCTGTTCCAAATTACAGCCAAGAAACAATTCATTAGTGAGTTATAATTTTCTTGTGTTAGCTTCGAGCCATTTGTGCAGTAAAACAATCAGTAAGAAACTACAAACAATGAGCACTATACATGAATAGGTTGACGTGATAACTTAACGATCTCTTCGATAGAAGGGGGTAAATATCATAGTAGGTTGAAGAAACTTGTCTAACCAAGAACATCATAAGATCAAGATAACTTGATAAATATCATGAGACGTCTCTGCTGGAATGTAAATTGATGGACATGCACCTTATTCATCTTACGTAAAGCTCATAGCTAAATAGTGCAATTCCTTTTTTGTCAGATAGTGCAATTTAGGTTTGAGAAATAGCAGGTTTATGTAAATACTTGAAATTCATGAACTAATTGAAATGTGCCTAAATGAACAATAATGTAACTTGCGAAGCCTATTTATACTGATGTGAAAAGCTGCAATTGAACCACGAAATATGAAGTTAAGGACCATAAGATAGGAAATTACTTAGGCCGCTTAGTTAAGTCCTATGTCCATGTATCACAGTTACCACAATCAGCCTTCGGAAGGGAAGAACAGAAACCTTCTTAGCCAAATATAAAGATTCTTTAAGTTGATTGGTGAAATCTAGAAAAACATAGTTTAACAGAATGTATTTTATATTTAATAATTTAGTAAAGGCATAGGCTGCACTATCAAAACAGATGCAAGTCATGGTTACTTTGTCTGAAAAGTTCTTAATTTATCTAAAAGTGCATTTTCCTTTCCTCCTAGGGAATGAAGGCTTGATGTGGAATATTTTATACAAGTAAGTGAAAGTGAAAACTCACATTATTTTAGGATAGTGCCATTAATATAAGCTGATGGTTATAGAGCTATAAGGATAGTGCTGAAAATATCTTTTTAGCCTTGATCATCCTTTGGTTGGATTTTTTATGTAGAAGAAATATATATGTATACATAACAAAACAGAAGAATAGACAAGAAATAGAAAGGTGTACTTGACACATCAATTCCTAAGTAATTGAGAGTTGGGGAGGGGAAGTTTGAAAAATACAGCAAGTTATTGAGTTCAAATAACTCATTCAAATCCTAAGGCTATATACAATCACATCTTTTGATATTTCACTTTTTTAGCTAGAAAACAAGATGAGAATGGGATAAAGATGATATTTTCAATATGTACTTGGAATGTTTAGAGGATATTTGAGCCAAATTTGGCACTTAGCCACTAGCCAACCTGTCAAATTTTACAGAAGACTATCTTATATCCATTTGTTTTTTCTTTCGTAAAAGACACTTAAATATGTTTACACCGGCAGAATTATGATTTGCCATATGCGAATTGGCATGCCTAATGCACAACCACGTCCTTTCCTCTTCAGATTCAAGTTGTGAGGCAATTGGTACAGTGGTACATGTCATTATCCTTTTTCCGACTCTTGGAGAAATAAGGAACAAAATTACATTTAAAGGTTTTGTTAAATGATAACACGCACAACATTGTTTTTATATGTGCTCAATCTGGAGTACACGTTAAGAAGGGCTCATCTATATATGTATTTTGGTTTCATGAGCATATATTATTTATTATATAGTAGAGCAGATCAATTAGAAGATACTACTGACCTGAATTATAATAAAACACGGAGGCGGCATGGGAAACACTGGACTTGTTTCACAGAAACTGAAATGCACCTTCCGTCAAGAACAAGTAGCCTGTGAAACAGTAATCCTGGAATTTGTATTTTGATTTATTTGTCCTATCCCAGCACTCGTACCTGCACAACCGAATCAATTACCGACATGAATGGTGGTGTGAAATTTGAACAACATAAATGTCTAGTCAAATTCACCTTCCCTTCCCCGACTTTGAAGTTACTCTTGGAGTTGTAGGTGACATCTTGATCTATTGAATCATTATTCTAATGCAATTCCTGTTACTTATACCTGAAAGAATATAAAAATCAACTAATAAAAGGTTTTCAAAAAGATAAATTGAATCTTTAAAACCAAGCACCTTGGAAAGGCCTATGCATCAAGTGTGTGTATATATATATGCTGACACATATGTAAAAAGAGTTGTAGTGTATTATCATCAATAGTTATGCAACCTACTTTAGCTTACAAATTGATAGTAAAGACGGATACCCAATTTGAGCAACAAAGAGAACGAAAAGGTATAAGGAAGATGGATATTAGGTTGAGCTTGAAGAAGTATTTAGGGTAAAAAGTGTAAGAAGATGAAGAGAATTGAAACAATGGTATGAAATTGTGAGATGTTGCGTTTTTTTTTTTTTTGCTTGGAATGCTGGAGAAGAATGCAGACGGTTCTAGAAATTGGATGTCAGCGTAAAATTACCAAACTACCCTTGGTCGTCCTTGTGTTCACATTTCTATATAATAGAAATATATATATTCCTTACGTATTCTTATTAGGAAAGTGTAGTAAAATAGAGAGTTAAGTCTTATCTTTCTTTCTCTTATGTTTTTGTTGGGTTTATATTATTTAATATTTATTTGATTCTGACTCTAAGTTTTATACTATAAGAACTTGTTGAATTTTAGAGATACATGTATATCGGGTAAAATATTTTTAAAGACAACGTTGACACACCTCAAACTTTGGTGATTTCCTATAAGTGTTTCTGGTAAAATATTTTTCGTAAAATTTCCAACGTGAAGCTAGCTAGCATAAATTTATGATTTTTTAGAATAAATAAAGAAATGATTTTGATGACCATTAATTACTCTTTTTTTATGACAACTTATTTGCAATTGCTATCTTTAAGGTACGTACAAAATAAACTCGATTTTAATGTAGAGTATATCATTCACGATATAGGAGATGTAAATAATATTAGGCAAGTCTCATGAAATGAACTCGATTATATTATAAATTAAGTAAACATTACATCTAACAACAAATTCAGTATAATATCATAAATAAAATATATACATACGTACCTTACATCTATCTTAAAAATAAAATATTATTTCCGATAAACTTTCGATCAAAATAATTCCTTATTCATAAGTAGACGATCTTTCTTTCACGTGGTCAAACTCACCAATTTATGGTGGCACTATATAGGGGGACCTCATTTTCGAGTAATAATTGCCCACACATAAAATCCAACAAAACACACTTGTAATAAATTACTAATAAATTCTTTTCGAGAATATTGTTGTTGTCCAACACAAAATTTTAAAATATTTACATTAAATTATACAATTGGTTTGTTTATTATTGTTAATAGTAACAAATAATTTTTTGCTCCCATACTTTAATTAATAACACATAACACCCCCCCCCCCCCCCCCCTCCCTCTCTCTCCTCTGGTTTTAAAAAGGGTTAAAATCTCACTAGAAGGAAATTAAGTTCAATTCAAATCGAATCGAAGAAAGTAATTTAGTAGCTTAATGCTCAAGAGTATAGAAATTGATTGAGTTCAAGATGGACTATTATATCACGAGTTAATTAGATGGATAAATATACTATGAGTTAATTAGATGGATAACTTTAAAGGGTGTCAATTTATGAGTTCAGCTTAATTTAGACGGATTAAAATAAATGAGTTAATAGAGAGGCGAGTTATTGATTCATTTAAAAATTACTTGGGTTGAAAATATACTAAAATGGGGGTGGAGGGGGTCATAATTTTTACTAAATTTTAATTGTTTTACTTGTTTTTTTTATAATTTTAGTACCTAATAAAATTATGATTTTCTTTATTATGGCTAACACATCAAATTTTTTAATAAGTTTATTTGAAATATTTTGACAAGATTTTTCATTGGTTAATTTGAGCTACATATCAAATAAACGAGTATATGCTGAAATGGATTAAGCTAATAAAATGATGGGTCAAAAAGTTTCCAAAATATAAACGAATTATGTTTTTATTGGTTAATTTTGTCACCTCTGAATAACATAACATCTAACAATTATAAGAAAATTTTACATGGTATAACAATCATATACTATGTATTGTTAAAAAAATACATTTTATTTAACTATACTTCACTTTTCTAGCATCTCTCTCAATTTCGCTCGCCTCTCTTCTCTCTCTGTCCCTCTACCATTGCCTTTCTCCTCTATCGCTCTCTTCTCTCCCTCTCTCACCTCTCTCGCTCCTTTCTCTCTCTCACCTCTCTCTGTATTTTATATTTCATTGCATGATACTCCATAGCAAAATCATACAATTCATTCAATTGTATTCTGCCAAATACAGAGAATAAATACATAGAAAAAAGAAGAAGAAAAAGATACGACTAACAGCTGTACCATCTAATGATTGTATGAACATATTATTTTGTATCAGCATGTATGTATCATTTTATATCAGTATGTTATTTTGTACCGTAAATAAATACAAGTAATACAACTGTATCAGTTTATGTGTATATCGACATGTATGTATCGAATACAACCTATATAAGCATGTGTTTATGTATTTCTATATTGAATACAAGAGATACAAGACATGTATGTATCGAATACAATTTGTATCTATCAGACTATATTTGTGATACAACTTGTATTTGTCAATATTATCTATATCTAACATCTCTCTCCCAAATCTCGTTTTCCTCTCTCCTCTTACTACGAATGGTTAATACCTAGAACATAGCTAGAAATTTCTAATTAGCCCTAAACATGAGTCATTTATGGATTTTACTCTAATAATAAATACTCCCTCCGTCCCTATTTAGTTGTCCACTTTAAAAATGGCACACATATTAAGGCAACAATGATTAGCATAGTGAAGTTACAATTTTGCCCTTATTAATTATGATTCCAAAATAAATTTATTCAAGATAACTAATCAATGTTGGGGGAAGTTTAAATTTTCAAGAAGTTTAAATGAGGGTATAATAGGAAAAAAAAATTTGTCCTTTCTTGATTTGTCAAAATAGACAAGTAAATAGGGACATCTAAAAGAGGAAATATGGACAACTAAATAGGGACGGAGGGAGTATTTATTATTAGAGTAAAATCCATAAATGACTCATGTTTAGGGCTAATTAGAAATTTCTAGCTATGTTCTAGGTATTAACCATTCGTAGTAAGAGGAGAGAGGAAAACGAGATTTGGGAGAGAGATGTTAGATATAGATAATATTGACAAATACAAGTTGTATCACAAATATAGTCTGATAGATACAAATTGTATTCGATACATACATGTCTTGTATCTCTTGTATTCAATATAGAAATACATAAACACATGCTTATATAGGTTGTATTCGATACATACATGTCGATATACACATAAACTGATACAGTTGTATTACTTGTATTTATTTACGGTACAAAATAACATACTGATATAAAATGATACATACATGCTGATACAAAATAATATGTTCATACAATCATTAGATGGTACAGCTGTTAGTCGTATCTTTTTCTTCTTCTTTTTTCTATGTATTTATTCTCTGTATTTGGCAGAATACAATTGAATGAATTGTATGATTTTGCTATGGAGTATCATGCAATGAAATATAAAATACAGAGAGAGGTGAGAGAGAGAAAGGAGCGAGAGAGGTGAGAGAGGGAGAGAAGAGAGCGATAGAGGAGAAAGGCAATGGTAGAGGGACAGAGAGAGAAGAGAGGCGAGCGAAATTGAGAGAGATGCTAGAAAAGTGAAGTATAGTTAAATAAAATGTATTTTTTTAACAATACATAGTATATGATTAAACTTATCTCAATGTTTATGTAAGTTGTCCCAAACACGTTTTTTTAATTTTAAAAAAAACAAGCGTATATATCAAGAATATGTTTTTACTAATAATACCAATAAACTGGAAAAATCCCCTTCAACGAAGACTCCAATTGAATGCCGTGTATTGCAAGCTCTAAAAAACCTTATTTATTTATTTATCTATTTTACTAGCCTAAAGTCAAATCCACGAGCTTAGAGAATTGACATTCTAAAAATTGATTATTTTCCTCTGTTTTTTTTTTTAAATGAAATAAAATCAAAGCTTTTGAATAAAAATGCAAAAGCTTTTGCATGAAGTAGGGGCTGCTTGTAGGCGGATAATTTCGCTTAACGGTTTGGCATATTGGATATTAGTTTTTGAATTTATTAATTCATTAGCCAATCAATAAAATATCGGTTGGTTCGATAACTAATTATCAATTATCGAACAATTATTGAATGATGTATCGGCTAACCTCTACCTTTTTTTTTTCATGAACGCACCTTAGACAAAAGACTTCTTTTCACTGTTTTAGAAGCAGTTAAATTATAAAATTCTTTTATATTGCAAAAAATATGGATTAATAGTAATAAAATAGTTAATACAACAGAAAAGTAAATATATATTTTTAATTTTGGCTTTACGGATTTAGGACTAACAATATATAATTATATATTATGACAAAATATTAAATGAGGCTAATATATAAGATAAAAGTGTAAGTATGGTAAATCTTAACTGGTAAACAATTTATCCGATAAGAAAATTGAATAATCCGCCACCACACCAATAAGCTGCTGATCATAAAATTCTAATCCGTTCACCAACCGTTTATTCGATAACCTAATACAAATAAGCCAATAAATCAATTTTACGGTTTCTTATCAGTTATGGATTGATTTTGAACACCCCTAATTTGAAGTTTACCAATAATGAGTATAAATTAAATAATTTGTAAGAAATTGGTTATAAGTTAAATGATAGTGTCCAAACTTAAAATGAAACCTGTTTTTACAAGGTAGAGAGGCACAGGGTCCAATTGTATGGGACAGAGCTGAAAGCCCAATAAATGTAAGACCCAATCAATAGATTATCAAAGGCCCAACTATTTCAAAACCAATATTGTCTTCTTGGAAAATTAACGTAAATAGCAGCTCACTCAACCGCTTAAATTAAAGATAGCCAACAAATATATAATATATGTATAATGTATACATGATATGTATATGATTAATCAGTGTATGATTAATATATAATATATGTATATAAGGAGCTTTCACTAAAAACTTGTTTTTTGAAATTCTATTTCTAATTCAAAATAATTATATATTTTTTTTAAAAGAATATGGTATTTTGTACTTTGAAAGAACATATTATTTTGTACTTAGAAAGAAACTCAAATTATTATTTTTTGAAGAAGAAGACAATATAGGTATAATATTTTTGGAGGTTTGGATTGAAGATAGCTATTGGAATTATTAGAATTGAGGGTAGAAATTGTATATCAAATTTGAACTCATTTGGAGTTAATTTGGGTTAATTAAGAAGCAAAAATGTGTTGGGAAATTCTACACTAACTAACATGTCATGGTGATCACCAAAATTTGGTTGGATCGATAGGATTTCAATCCATAAATACTGAAAAAAGCTCGTGATATGTGATTTAATAAAAAATCCTGACAAATCGCTACA